TTTTGTCGAAAAATACTATGTAAAATAAAAGTCGAGTCGCAAATAAAACGATAATAATAAAAATGTGTGACACGGAAGAATGGCAAATAATCAGAATGAAATACGGCCATTTTTGACAAACCATTGAAAGTGCGTGGTTTTTGTCGCTAAAAACTTTCCCGCAAATAAGAAGATTATATCATAATAACTGCTTTTTTTAACTAAATTCCTTTCACACGGCAATATCAGCTGAAATAAAAAAAAAAATACAAGTCGTTTTTAAAATATACTAAAACATCAAACATTCATGAGGTTACACTCATATTGACAGTCGACTATTCTGACCCGAAAACCGACTTGTAGGAGCCAAAGGGAGATTTACCAGCTACTTTGATAAAGTGCGTACCGTAGAATGAAGGAAATGAGCGCATATATTAACCCACTTTGAATTGTTCATAAAAAAAACGATTTAAAAGGAAATAATCTTACAATGGCATTATGGTGCTACATTCAAACGAGTTCAAGTGGCGTTAAGAACTCGACGTGTGAGCCAAAATGTACAATATAATATGTACACTAGTGTGTGCACACAAAAAGATCATTACATCCACTGTATGTTGGATTAGTGCGTTTATTACTTGGGCTTTTTAAAGCTTAAACTGGTTGAACTACTGTGCTGTGCTTGTACACCACTACACTTCAATTTTTTGTTGTGTTGTTTATTCTTGCAGCCATTCAAAGACAATGAGTTTACCATATTGTTGTGCATTCATATATATAACAATATGATGGTCTATTTGACTCGATTTTGGTGTTAAATTCTTGGCTGAACAATGTAGAAGAGTGTGTGAGATGTATATATATGGAGAGAGAGAGAGAGCAAGAAAAAAAATGTGCTATGATTTTAACTTGACTGCATTCATTTTTTGTGTACAGACACACAAGAAATCACGAAATCTGACATACCCAACATGCCCATGCAAATAAAATCACACGCTTGATTTAAGCTTTAATACCATAATAGATACTTTCAATATATTTAGCCCGAAGAATTCGTAGCTAACCAATCCCAGCATCGATGGCATCAATGTCGATCACAACGAATGCCATATGCAGTGCCAAAAGTGGAAATTATAAAAAATTGCCATATAAATGATGAGTGTGCCCATCGACACGTACATGTAATTTTTAAACAAAAAAAAGTGGCGAATAAAAGCGAACAAAAAAAACCTAGAGGAAGAGAACTGAAAGAGAATTGCCTTCGCATTTGCCTATTGATATTCAGCTTGAATCTCGGTCGACAGGCGCAATATTAGAGCAATTGCCAATTTTAACGAAAGCATTTTCACATATTAACAGTTCTCTTTCTTTTTCATATACAACACACACAATAGGAATAAAGCTATAAAATGAGCAAATCTTTTGCATTCATGGCTATGCGTTTAGAAGTGAATGCTTATTAGTCAGACTGTTATGTACATAGAAATGAGGCCTTTTACCAGTCATGTTCCCGAAAATAATATCATAATAATACGACCGTGTCGACAGCAACGCGCACACAATTGGCTCAAAAATCACAAGTTGCCAGTGTACAAGCTGCTATGGGACAGAGAAAAAAAAACGCTACAAACAAATGACATTGAAAGAAATGCAGGGGATTCATGATCAATTTGAAAGGGTTAAAGGCAAACGAATTAATACTACTACTAAAGCAGCAATTCAAATGAGATGGGCGGAACAGCTTTTTTTTCGCGTACACACAGATACAGCAAAAAAAAGAAGCTTTTATACCGTATACCAGAGAAAAAAAGCAATACACGAGAATAAAGGCGACATAAGAAAAGAGCACACATCAATTTCTCGTGTCATTTTTTGAATTTTTTAGCCTGACCCCTCTCTATTCTGTTGCCATCTTCGTTAAAAGCATGCAAACAATTTGAATGCGTACAATTGTGGCGTTATTTCTTTTCTATCTTCTTTTTTATCTCATCCATATAATTTCATTCCTTTCAACTTGTGCATATATTAATATTGTTGTCTGCGCCTTCAACATCATTCATACATGTGAAACATAAAAAGCTTCCTGGTTCACAGAAAAAGCAAATACATCAAATTGATTCGTTGCCATTGATGCTATGATTGCTGTAGTTGTAGTCATTATATTATTGTTACTGTTTTTCCATCAAAACAAAAACACCGAACAGGAAATTTGTCTATCTAAATCTGGCGTATTTCCTATTGTATGACATCGATCAAGACAAATTGAAGCCGAGAGTAGAACGAAAAAAAAAGCGAAGAGAGAAGAAGAATGAATGAATGTGTTTAAAGTGTTATTTACTTGTATAATCCTCCATTATTTTCGTTTCAAAGAATGTTCGTTCATCTCGTTTGCGATATTTTGCTCTTCAACGGCAAATTCATTATGTGTACGTGCATTCGTTTAAATAGTTAGACGAAATGGTTCCTCCTCATCGCTACATCGGATGTTGAATGTAAATTAGTTATGTGCGAATTTATATATACATATATTGTCCGTCGTCAACTCACACAGAGAAAATGGTTGGTGTTGCTGTTGTTGTGTTTTTTTTTTCAACGCTGGAAAATTAATTTGTTTTAGTTGTTTTTGCGTGACATTTTATTTCAAGTAGAGAGTTTTGGTTCGTGCAGCTGTATGGCTGAGCAATTTCCATTTATTTCGCATTATATAAAAATTAGTTTATTTATGCAGCTTTTTTTGCTCTTTCACTCGCTTTATCTAATTTATTCTTCGGTTCGACAAAATACGGCGCACATGTGTTCATGCAGACACGGCATGCAATGTGCGGTATTATGGTTGCCGGACAAACAAGCCAAACTACAAAAAATTGAGTATAAATTCATCAAAAACATATAAAGAAAGGTCCATGCGAAATGACAAAGACAACGTAACGCACAATGGAAAAGAAATTGATCGAGTGGAATGAGTGTATGGGTCAGCGCCATCAGAACGCGACGCGTAAGTGGTAACAAAGTTGATCACTTGACTCGGTTTGGGGTGGGAGTAAAATTATGCGTCAAATGGTGTCTCAACATACCATGCCCCACACGATGATCTCTTCCATTTTGTATGCGTATGTGTACTTGAAATAACTTTTCCACTTATAGTGGAATTTTGCGTCCATTTTACGCACACATTCACCACAACTAACTCTACATACGATTTTCTTTTTATGTAAATAAAGTGGATTTTTTTTAATGAATAATAATAATAATATGGTTGGTTTTTTTCTCTTTTTGTTCTTTTTTCTCCTACTCTTCCTGTCTCAACATTCTTGTTGTCAACGCTGTCCACACGAAAAATTTGTGATGCTCCAATTTTTGTAGAAGAAGACCAAGGATCGATGCTAATACGGTGTTTACGTTGCTGCTCTTTCAATTGTCAAAAATTAAAGCTATCGCTGACGTATGTGGAAGGAATGTTGACGAAACAGAGAAAATACTTCCGGGTCAGTGTAGCGTATGGTTCGGTGTGAAAACATTTTGCGTGTATGTTAAACCACAAAATAAAAGACAGAAAAAAAAGATAAAGACTCGAGATTTGTATCAGAAAAATTCATAAAAACTAAATATATTCCAAATTCAACATATAGTGCATAAAACGTGTTAACCATATTCTAGCTGAATGCGTATATAAATATATCTGCATTTGTGCGTGTGTATTTCAACGATTACTTCAAGGTTACATTGTCATACACACTTTTCGGTTTGGTAAGCGTTACAATATACACCAATATCGATATCCGTAATACATACACCGCATTTGATGATTATGATAATGAAATTCGTTTATTTAACATTATGAATAGTGCTCATCGAAAGTGCAAAGCTCGTCTTTTTTCCTGGTGTTTATTAACAAACAATGCGAAAAGAGAACAAACCTATTACATACAGAACAGTCAAATCAAAGCCACTTAGTGTGTAAGAAATCGCATAAATATACATAGTAAATTGGTATTTGGACGCACTGCGAAGCAATACATACAAAGCCATCGAAACACAATACAAAATACCTGACAAAAAAAGCCGGACATGCCAAAGCAGTACTCAAATCGATCGAAAGGACTACAGAGGCACACGTTAAATAAAAACTACTGAAAAATAAAGAGACAGAGAGTGAAAGTAGAAAAGATAAGAACGGTTGCAAAAACAAAACAGTGGCACACAAACACACGCACGCAAAAATGTGAACAATTTGTTTTGTAATACAAAAGAAGTAACAGTGAAGCCATCAATAACCATAGGCATAACAAAGCAACGAGAGTGATAATTTCACGTTTGACGTTTTATTTCGTTTTATTAAAGTCAGTCATCTTGTTTCGCTTAGTTTCGTGTTATATATATTTTTTATTGTCTCTTTTTGGCAGGCATTTGTATGACGTAGAGCGCGCGCTCTGAATATAATAATAATTCAATCAAATTATTTGCGTAGTTTTATTCGTCAGCAGAAAAAATGCAACACAAGGACCATAAAAACAAAAGCCAATATTGAATAGAAAACAGGGACAGAGTTGTGGCAAACAATCAAACAAAAAGTGAGAAAAAACGTCACATAATCGGTTTATGAAAAAAAGAGACCAACATTGAAAGCGGTCCAACGACAAATTTGAGCGCACAAAGAAATTCTAAATGTAGCAAATAAATGAAAATAAAAAAAAAACAGTGCAACTTTCATAGTAATAGTGATGACCGTTTGGTGAGAGAAAAAAGACGAACGATAAAAAGTGAAACATGTTTTAAAGTCAAACTTTCTGCTTGTGATTGAACATAAACAATGAAACGTGCGCGGAGACTGAAAAAAATATACTCTCATATATATATGAAGTAATGAAAATAAATGCATAATAGAAAAATGAATGAAGACCGAAAAAAGACGAACAAAAAAGTGACGAAATACAAAATACAAAAAAGACTCATTCTATTCATACAAAATCGAATAATATATTTCCATTGATTTCGCGTTTTTTTTAAACGACAGCAGCTTACATACAAAAGGAACTATAGACATTTTGACACGACTAACGAATAAAAAAAATTCACGGAATATAGCGAATTCTTCTTCGGAACTACTTTTTTTTTCTTTATTTCGTCAGGGCATCGGGACCAGCATCGTGTTTTATTACGTAGAAAATTACATTTACATACATGAAATCCGAGCACAATCGGTGGCATATTTAAAAGTTGTTTTTTTTTCTCTATCTCTGTCATTCCGCGCTACTGCCTTCAAATACGAAATAATTCGTTGTCCATTCTTTTTATTTTGCATTTTGCTTTGCACACTCTATTTTTTGTGCATAACGGTCAATTTATGTGTTGTGTATATAGTTATCAGAGTAGAACGATCACATTCATCTGCAACAAACAGGTAAGCCAATACAAAAAAAAATCTCACATAAATCAATTAATCGTCCGCAAAGATATATTCTAAATTTTCACTTTTCCATATGCCATTACATACGTACAGTGTCATCATCAATGTTTAGCGACCCATCAAATTTATGTTCGATGTAAATTTGTAAAATTGCACAGTCTTTTTTTTGGTTTTTTTCGTATATTGTGTGCTTCTGTGACGTTTCGAAATTTGGTTTTACCAACAACCACAAAAATGCCGATACATTATTTATAAATATTCTAGTCTTGTCATTCCATTTATCGTGGGATATATTTTTATCAATACATAAAAGCAACATAAAAATACATTTCTTTTTCCTATGTGTAGATGGCCATTTTAAGATAAACTATAAAAAAAAGTTTGTCAGCTTGAGTGACAGTAAACAAAGTTAATGTAGAGAGCTTGTTTTTGAATTGCAGACATTTCAAATGAATCCACTCAATACAGTGGTTGTAGGTAACTTTGTGGCGATACTTCTTTTTTTATTCGTCAATTTTTTTCACTCTCTGCCGTCCTCCCGCAAAATATCGGATTCAATTTGACTCAAATCGTTTACGCTTGAAAAATAAAGTTTCAATGTATACAATTTGCAAAACGGTAAATATATACGGATCGTTGTGACGTGCAATTTTATAATATATATGGATATTTTCAGCGTAAAAAAAGCCCCGAATGCATATACCTACTTTCACGTCCATTTGCTGAAAATTCAAACACCACTTCCGACCGACACCACTTCTAGGGGCTTTTATCCATAGTCAGACATTGAATGGCGCTGTATCTATCCTATAAACATCGAACTAACAAAAATGTGTGGTGCTTCATGTCTTATTTAATATACAAAGTGAAAATTTATCCAATGCACAAACCATTTCTTCTAGTTTCTCTTATAAAGTTCAGAGAATGACGTTTGCATATAAATACATGTAAAAGACACTTTTGGGCTCGTCCTATGCTTTTATCTTCAAATGTATATGATTTATATTGTAAATAGTGAACTATATTGCAAAATCATCTGTAATACGCGCAAATAAATGTGCATAACTGCATATATTTGGTGTATATTTCGTGTATATTCCGTCTATGGCATGTTTTTTCATTCTCTTTTGTGTGGATCTCCTTCGATTCTTTGTAGCTATACTGTGTGTGTGTGTGCAAATACACCTTATTCACTGAAATAGACGAGAAATTTTAATCGTATATATGATGAATAGGACGTGAATATTGGGTATAAATTTGTATGAACGAATAGATGAAAGCCCCTAGGACCGACTGCCATTGAAAAGTTATATACACTTCAACCGTGATAATGTGGATTTTCAAGTCTGATGGTTCATTTCGAATGATTACTGATTCAATTGAAAATCAAAAAGCACATTTTTTTTTTTTTTTAATACGTTTCTCTCTTTCTCACCACACACTCACTTACATTCTGTTTTTTTTCCGTTTCATTTATAGAGAAAAACAACGAACAAAAAGTAGATCAGTATAGAACATTCAGCGAAAAGAATTCAATTCATTTTTCGTCGTCGTCGTCGTCGTCGTCGTCGTCGTCGTCGCTGTCACCGTTACAGTCGCAATCGCTTCTCATTAATCGACACTATTGTTTTCCGGTAACATTAATGGATAATGAAACATTGAACGCCTCGTAAATGAAACACTGCGAACATCGATGAGTTTGTGGATTGCCATTGATTTGACGCAAATTGGTGGTGAATCATCTCTCAAAACGAAATATCAACAAATTAACAACAACAAACACCCTGAAATGAAAACGTTCTTTTTAAAGAGAGACATAATATCATTATGTTTACTTGATAGAAATGTGCACCTTTTATTATGAATGAAAATATTAGAATGAATTGATCCATTGGAAATGGTTACCGACGATGCATTCATAAGTCAGCCGGTTGTCGTAACTTCAGTTCAGTGAACGGTACACAATGATTTCATAGCGTGCAAGTGGTACACTTTCTAGCACAACGACAAAACTACCGAAGAACTGAAAAAATAATAATCATCAAATATGGAATGCAAATGTATGGCCACACTTATAGGATAGAATACCGAAAAGTGTGCTGGTTTCCATTTTATTCCTTCGTTCAGATGCATCAATTGATACAGAAGAAAAATTAGAGCTGAAAAAAGAAATATTGAGCGAAAGTAAGAAGAAGAAGAAGAAGAAGAAGAAGAATTCGAAGAAAAAAAACTGAAATTGGCGACAAGCTAATAACGTCTACGGTGACACAAACAGTCTCGTACCAACGATAATAATATAACACGCACACATTGGCACAAACCAGAAACAGAAACGAAATTGAAACGCTTATTCAGATTCGATTTGAACAGAAAATAGAAAATAAGTTGAACTATATTGAAATAAAAATATTTACAGCACATGCATGGAATACGTAATTTTTTCGGATTTTTTGTTGTTGCGGGAGGCGACACACAAACACCGGTTGGCATTTTTTTCTACTCTCATTTATTGTACTGCTTTCTCCATTTGATACATACACACGTGGAAATGGAAGCAAAGCAAACAAGCTGCTGAATAAAACAGAAGACGATTAAGAAGAAGAAGAACAAAAATCGAGAGCAAAAAGGACAAAAAAGCTTCGAAAAAGGCAGTAAAAAGCACAAAGTATCGTAAAATTGAATGGAACAAAATCTCTGAATAGAATAGAAAACGCATTACCGTTTTTAGTGAATTCAATGAATTGAATAAGTGTGGAATATATATATGCAGACAAAATAAGAGAGAGAGAGCGAACGAGAGGCGACAGAATTTCAACATATTTTTCGGTCGTTCACAATATACATTCAACTTCACTTTTACGACCAACAATCAAGTGGAATATGAATTAACTAAGTTTTAGTGGCGCTGGCGCGTTTACATGCAAACACAATCAAAGAGCAAGAATATATATATACACCAAAACATGAAAAATTATAGGGATAATAGAAAATAAAAATAGAACGAGAAGAAAAAGACAAAGAAACAATTGGAAAAGTTGAAATATATAGGGGAATATAAATAAATTACAAGGAAAATAGCAAACAATCGCAGATAGGAAGTCCCAGATCATTGCCATATGATTTTCGCCGTTTTTCTATATATATGTGTGTATTGCACATGCTATTATTGTCGCTGGCTAACGCTTCATAAACGAAATAACAATAGACCAGAAATAGTAGCACACTGTGTGAGACAAATACAATCCCCACTCGCATAAAGCAACCGCTGCAACAAATTACGTATTTGAAGTAAAAAAATAAATAAATGAATGTATTAGCACCAATTCCCGCCGAAGCAGAAGCTCTGCGAAAAAATCGCAACAAATTCACCACTTCAAATAGAATAACGACAGTTAAATAACAGCCGAAGCGGCAACATTGCATTGAATTGAACCATACCAGCAACACAGATATATAGGAGGACAAAAATTGTGGAAAACAAGACACACAAAAAAAGTGCGACTGTGGGATAAAAAAAGAGAGACAGAGAGTGTGTGTGTAGACGCGCGCTAATGAATGCAAATCAACCGAAGTGCATCATAAATTAACATGGCATTTATTTCGGATAATACGACCGAAGAATTTCTCGCAACGGTTGGAAATTCATCATTTAATCGTCATTTGACCTCTACAAATGAAACAAATCCAAATACAACCATCATTCATGATCTGGGATACCCCAGTGGATACAGTCTGACTCATATTGTATTTGCATCAGTTGTAGTCACACTTTTAATGATCATTATTGTTGTTGGAAATATGTTAGTTATTATTGCAATTATCACCGAAAAATCGCTGAAAAACATTCAAAACTGGTTCATTGCATCGCTCGCTGTAGCCGACTTTTTTCTTGGCCTTGTTATTATGCCATTCTCTTTAGCTAATGAATTAATGGGGTATTGGATATTTGGACCTTGGTGGTGTGACATTCACTCAGGTATGTATTATACGTTCATGTAATTTATTCGATCAAAAATTCAGAAGATTTTCATTTCAAAATACAACATTTACTACAGTTGAACAACATCAGCAGCTTATAGCTCATATTTTCCTTATACAATATCTTGTTCATTTCTCTTGAAAGTTCTTTTATGATTTTGTGTGTGTAACGAGCAAAAAAAAAATGTTGAAGAGTTAAAAATAATGTTCGTTTTAGTGTCATGAAAAATTGATTTTCTCCCCAAAGACCATTACCTTCGGAATAGACTATAAGTTTTGATGTTGTAATTTTCTGTTCTCGGAATTGGCACGAGAATTGCACTTGTTGTGACATTTATTGGTGGAATTTTTTAAATGTTACGTTTTTATTTTTCTTCTTTATAAATATATATTTAGCCATGGACGTGCTTTTATCAACCGCCTCGATAATGAATTTGTGTTTAATATCATTGGATCGATACTGGAGTATAACGAAAGCTGTAGAATATTTGAAAACACGAACGCCCGCCCGTGCATTAGTTATGATCGCTGCCGTCTGGATAATGTCAGCGTTAATATGTATACCGCCGTTGCTCGGATGGGGTGTAAAGCGGTCCGAAGAATCACTGCCACAGTGTGAGGTAGGTTTTCTTATCGCATTTTCCTTTTTGTTTTTCGTTCTCATAATTCGAAATAAAACCCGAATTTCGGTACAAATACGAGAAATAAAAAATTCCGTAAATAGCAACAACAAAAAAAAAATTGAGAGAGGAAAAATGCTAGGATGTGTGTTTGATGACCATTGAAGAGGCAACATCCTTTTTTTCTCTCTCTCCAGCCATATACAATGTTTATTTTTTTATCATTTGATTTGCGATGTGGCTGAACAATGAACATCAATTCATTTTTATTCAATCGGCATATCGATTGGTTCGTTGCCTTCCAAACAATGATAAGGAAAAAAAAACATTCGAGTGCACTTTTCGCATGTTGACAAACTTAAAAATCCAATAAATTTAAACAGAACAAAAAATGAAGATCCGAAAGTTCCATAGCATTTCAATGTGGAAAGTATCTATAGTCACTATAATAAGCTCGTTTTTTTATCGCTACGGAAAATATTGATATTTAATGTTATTCATCAGCATTGAATTCTAAGCACAATTTCGGGATACATATTTCGTTTATATATATATTTAATCTCAAGTCCTAGTCATAATTCAAAATATAGGGTTTCGGAGGAATTTAACCGAAAAAATAAAAATGTATACAATATATCGGAAGTTATTCTCTTTTTAACGTATTTTTTTTTTCTTCTGCTATCTCACAATTTCTCATGATGAACGAAACGGAAGGGAAGCGAAAAATGGTTGTTTTTTCTTCTTCTGAAAAATATCTGATGCATCAAATCAGACTTTCGCAGTTTGCTCTGGGCTTATTTCATTTCATTTTATTTGCCGTTTTTTTTTGTCGCAAAAATTCGTTCCCATTTTGTATTTTTTTTTTTCTTCTGAATTTTGTTTTGCCCGCACCGATTGTAACGAAACTAAATCAATAAATGTGAACATTTATTATTGAGTATCTATGCACTGTTTTGTTTGGTTATCTAATTCAAATCTATGGATATGAATGGAATCGAATCATAATACTCCGAGTACAAGCATTTACTCATCATTCAAATTCAAATCTAAAACACAAATATTATATGTATGGGTATATGTACAAATATAGAAACGTTAACAAGTGATGCGATACTAAATGTGTATGATACAGCATTCAATGCAACTGGACTTTTGATGTTGAACTTTTTCTTCGCCATATTATAATGGTTTGTGTATTTTATTTCATTGTGAATGAAACTAATACCAAGTTTAGGTAATATAGACACTGGAATCGCACTGTACATCAACTGTTTAATGAATGTCTGTTTCGTATTGAATTGGCTGTTTACTTTTCTGATGCATTGTCTTCATCGTCGTCATCGTCGTCATCGTCGCTCTTGTCATCATTGTTGCATTGACCTATCATTGCTAGCCGATATTATGCTCACAAATTCAATGATTATTATTTCATATGGAGTAGGATTTAATTAATATTTTTTTTTCTTTTTACAAAATGATAGAATAAAATAACAAAAAAATGACATATTCGCAACGATGTTCAACGATGGTTCCATTGTTATGTTGAAGTGCTATTTGATTGTAAATCGACACCAATTTATTCACACATTTACACATTCAGTAAGCATAATGGCATTTGAATCGAAATTACACATACACATAGACGCTATAGTGGCACAAACGGCTGGTCACATCATTGTGCAAAGAAATTCGATGGCGAGATCAAATTCTGTCATCAAGCCTGTTCAATGTGTCAATTGTATTATTATCATTACCACTCAACATTCTACTTCAAACCTTAAAGAACAATACGCCTCGGCACACAATTTAATTTTCTTTGCCCATACACACATATATATATATATATATATACGACAAAAACAAGTAGTTGGTGAGAGCGAACAGAGTGTCTGAATGACGAACATGTGTGTTTTTGTGTGGCAGCGATGACAAAGACGACAACAACGGCGACCACAGAAGCGGTAGCAAAATCAGTAGTAGCCATGAATGATGATGATGTTGAAGGAATGACTTTTTGCTATTTTGTGGAGATAAATAGGGGACAGAAATTGCTGTGTAATAAATCAGTCTAGTGTTCTCCTGATGAGCACTATTCAAATGGCGAGTGCGTTAACAATATTCGTATTTATGTATATGCATCAATGTGTAATTGTCTATTATGAGTGCGTATTACATTTCATATTTCTCTTTAACCAGCCGAACACTTACAAATTCCATTCTTACCCATGCCCTAATGTCCAAGCGCTCGAAGCGTAATCCATATATTCTCGCATCCACCCACACCCAAGGCCATGCGTTAATTGAACAATGCTCATGATAAATATTTCGATGGTAGATTTACAATGCCAAATTACAGCTTTGTCTGCACATATGAGTGTTTGATATCATTTTGATATTAAACGGTTGAATATTTGCCGAAATTCTATTAACGCTTTTATATTCACTTAACAAGCTGATTGTTCGAAAGTGAATTAACGTAATTTTTGTTGTGTTGCTGTTGTTTTTGTTGCGGTTTTTTTTGCTTCTTTCGTTCATGATGTGTGATGTTTTCGAACAGAAATGCACAAATGAACGAACAAGTCATATGGCGAAACATCAGACGCTGACATTAAAAACAAAACCATTCAGACGCACATAAATTGTCCGAACGACTGAAGGCAGAAGCGAATGAAATTTTATGTGAAAAGTGTAGATTGAATAAAAACGATGGGTTATATGGTACCTAGTTATCTAACCATTGCAAATACATTGTACTGAATATATGTTTGAGACTGATGAATTTGCTTATAAAAGTTCCACTTGTTTAAGAATACACAAGTTTATTGCCCTCTTATTTCACAACCAAAAAAGACTTCCATTTGATCTCATCACAAACATAAAAGATTGCTTGAACATGCAAACATTGGCATTCGGTATATGGTTCAACTGGATGAATTCAGATTAAAAAGTGTAGAGAGTGAGAGCGAGAGCGAGATAGAGAGGCGAAAAAAGAACAAATGCAAAGTGAAAATCATATCGAAAGAGCGATCGACATAAAGGACTTTACAAACGAGAACGCTTTTGGATGTTTTGTCTTTTGCTTATTTTCATCCATCAACCTACTAACTGCTGTGTATGTGTGCTTATGTGTACGTGCTGTTTCTCAGTTTCAGAATTTATTATAACCATAACGTTTTTCATTTCGTTGCAATGTTGCCGTTTACATTGTGTTCACTTGAAATTGTTTAATTTGTTGAAAGTGGAGCAAAAACATAAAAATACACTAATAAGCACTTCTTACAAACGTTGGTATAATACCAAAAGTATTTGTAGTAAGCATATTCTCTCTCTTTTTCTCCTTCTCTATCGTACACACACAAAAATGACATTAAAAGAAATTTCATCTATTTTGTTCTGACACAAAAAAATGCATACACACGACAAAGGAAAAAATGGGAATATACAAACACAGCAAAATTGTTAAAAATGCACCCACAAAATGATACATACATACACGTATGCAAATATTTAAATATTTATTCGTTTCAGCTTTTGTGTAAATTTGCGATCGACATACTTTGAACCCATTGTATATTTAAGTGAACAGGTTTCAACACAAACCGAAACCTAAACATTATTCATCATTGAATGGAGTTGAAAGACAGCTCATTCTATGACACATTGTAGACCACAAATTATCATAAATTGTTTTAGTAATGCGAATAAACACAAAAAAGAAAACATCATTTTTACATCACATTGATTGTGCATGAAAGAAGAGAATGAGTTTGCTAGCATTTTTGACATTTCTTGTTACTTTACATGTACATGTTTTACAGTTATGTCATTACATTGATAAGAAGACACGTTCGACACCAGACACAGTTTTTCGCCTTTTCCATTATGTCAATTTCCAATAAGTGGTAATTTTTCATTTTGGATATTGTTAAAATTGTAAAATACTATTCCCTTTCGATTGATAATTTTGCTAGTACCGACGTAATTCGTATGTGACGGAAAGCCGGAATCTGCTATAGTATATTCTGTTTGTCAATAATTCAACCGACGAATAAAAACTTAAAATGAAGAAGTAAACGAAGAAAATACATAATAATTTTGTTTTTAACTGTTCACCATCTGTATCCGACCCAAAATTGACGGAAATATTTGTGCTGATTTGTGTGTAGCTATAGCTCGGATATATTCCAGATTAATATAAAATACCTTTTGAATTTGTTGCGCTTATGATATTTGGATTGAAGTTGTATTCTTGGCTTATTAATAATTTTCATTTCCTCGTATCTTTGCATCGCTTGCCAAATTGGGATAATTGTCTTGCTTTTGTTCGAAAATACTTTCGACCTGACATATTTTATATAACATTATGTGTGTAACACATGTGCGAAATTTACACTGTACAAACACCCTTCAGCATTAAATACATACATCCGTATATAAATGGCATTTTGCGACCCATTAATCAGAGCTTTGCAGCGACAAGTTGCCCGGTCCGAGTTTCATAATTCGGGCGATGGAGCTTGTGCGGTTCAGTGTTTTTTTTTGTAAGTGTGCTGCCGCTGCTGCTGCATCTGTTAAAATATAAACTCAATTGTAGCCTGAAAGTGAGATACTTGCTCAATATTTGTGAGCACTGGTACATGAGTCCATGACATTAGTATGTATATGCGCTCCCTTGTTTTAATAATAAGAAAACAATCAATTTTTTGGATACCATATGCGACAGGCGTATAACATATCATTTTATTATGTGCACTTTTTTCCCTTTGTTTTCGATTTCACGCGAATGTCGTTGTCGCGTGTGTGTGTGAGTGTGTTGACTTTTTTCTTTGTGTTTTTGCGTCATCTCTCTTTCTCTCATGCTCTCTCTTCTCCAACTTATCTGCTTTTTTTGTCTGTCTTGGCCTTGGTCTTCCATCGATAAAACTTCACATCAATTGGAAAAATATGGGCAAATGCCGACAAAAACACACAACAATAACACAACATCCACCCGCTTGCCA